ATCTCCGGCATTAACCTATGCCGCCATCTTGGTTCCGCTCTCACCAAGCGAGGAAACCTCTATAAAGAACAGTTCAGTAATTTGCCATAACGCTTGCATAATTCATAATCAGAATTCCTCTGTCACCCATCTTATCTATGAAATGGAAGTGGGATCCTCTCTCTAGAACTGATAAATGTCTGATAAGGTGGCTGAGCCAAATCTATCTTCCCTCTCTCCAGTTCACCTGGACCCTTCCCCTGACCTGACCACAAGGTCAGGTCTCTGCCATCTCATAACCCCTCACTCACGCGTGTCCCCTCTTCCCACCCAGTGTCCCCTCACTGCCCACTTCTTTAAAGAATCTTCTGCACCCTGCTCACTCCCTACCTGCTGTCCATGCCTCACCCCACTGCAGTCTGTCCTCCTGGGAATTTACTCACATCATCATCAACAAGGACACATTCATTATTTCCACCTTGGACTCTCTTCTCCCTGGCTACTGCATCACCATGGTTTATAGGGTCTGCTATAATGGGACTGCTTTCCCTTTGTCTCCTTCCTTCATGGGCTCCTGGTCCTTGTCAAACACTTAAATTTTATCTTGAAGAGTTTCAGAACTGTGAACATTTCTGTACGTGAAATGTGAAACCACCCAAGAAGAAGGCAGGGAGGGAGTAGATGTGTGAGGGAGGAGAGTCTGGAGAGGAAGACAAAGGGCAGGAAGGAGGTTATTTCTTTCTGTGGACAAGGCAGCTCTCCAGTGTGAGACTAGAGTGGGTAACCATCACCCGGCGCCTATGGAAACTACAGGTTCTAGTTTACTTTTTAGAGAGCCTGGTGCAGAAGGTATGGAGTGAGGTGAGGGATTCTAATGAGTTTCCACAAGTGTCCCAGGTGGTTCTGATGCAAGGGGTCCCCAGGATCCCTGAGCAAAGCTGCACACCTGGCCCAGAGGAGGAAGTGTGGGGCTGCAGGTGCTGGGATGTGAGAGGCTCCAGCAGGGTTACCCTGCTCTGCTGACCTGACTTCTTCTCACGCAGAAATTCTTCCCATCAGATTTCATAATGATGTGGAAACCTTTCCAGGAGGTGAGTTGGCCTTTTAATAATGCTTAGACCTCAGTCCCAGTGAGACCTTGACCCCCTATTGACACCCATAAACACCCTGCTGGGGCTCAGCCCCGACAAACCAACCCACAAGGAAACCTTCCCCAGCCAGGTTTCTCCACCACCTCCTCATCTCACTGCTGTGACCCACACAGGCCCCTGTCCACAGGGAGATCCTGTCTCCTTTGAGTGTGTGTTTAGGGAGCAAGGACTAAGCTGTTGTGAGTGACCACTTCTGTTCCTTTTTCCAACAGCAGGCATAGGTCAACGACAGTCCTTAAGTGGAAAAGAGATTGTAAAGTGGGATGTGATCCCTCCACAAGGCCCCTTTTTTACAACTGAAACCCCACGTGATGGCCTTTGCCATCCTCATGTGAGCCACTGGGCTCTGGTTCCCTGGGCCAAGGGCAGGGGTGGATGGGAAAGAGGGGTCCGGGGGTAGAGGGCAGCATGTAGACAAACAGAGATTCTTCAGAGATTAACTTTTAGGTGTTAATTTGATTTTTCTCTAGGCATCAACGAACCTCCCAGTGGTGAGTGTGTGTTTGCTGGGGTTGGGGAGGGTCATTGTACTCATCTGGTGATCATGGTAGATTAGACCTGCCTTGGCCACCAAGACTCCGGGGAGCGGCCAGAGGTCTGTGGGATAGGATGGGTAGAGGGATGTGATCCCTCCACAAGGCCCCTTTTTTACAACCAAAACCCCACGTGATCACCTTGGCTGTCCTCATCTGAGCCACTGGGCTCTGGTTCCCGGGCAAAGGGCAGTTGTGGATAGAAAAGAGGGGTCGGGAATAGAGGGCAGAAGGTAGACAGACTGAGAGTCTTCAGAGATTAACTTTTAGTTGATAATTTGATTTCTCTCTAGGCATCTACGAACCTCCCAGAGGTGAGTGTGTGTTTGCTGGGGTTGGGGAGGGTCATTGTACTCATCTGGTGATCATGGTAGATTAGACCTGCCTTGGCCACCAAGACTCCGGGGAGCGGCCAGAGGTCTGTGGGATAGGATGGGTAGAAAGGGTTGGGAATGGTCAGGAAAGGTTGGAAAGTTGGAGGGATGGACTGGCATGGAGCAGGAAGAGGTTCAGGAAAAGGAGGGTGGCAGTAGAGGGCAGAACCCTTGGAAGTGTCTCTAAAGCAAATATGGCAGACGAGAAAAGGAGAAGGCCACTTTTTCTATAAAGAATACAGGTACCCTTCTGACTAGGTATTTACTAAGAGGGAAGCTGAAGCCTGCTGGGTAGGCAAGACCCAGTCTCAAAACCCAAAATGGAGGTTTCTAGCAACTCAGAAAACTGAGTTTTATTTTCAAATTTATACTTTCTTTAGCCCCAGTTTTCATTCATTCATTCATTCATTATTTTTTTTATTAATTAATTAGTTCCTTCATTTGTAGATGCGGAAAGGTTGGAAAGTTGGAGGGATCGACTGGCATAAAGCAGGAAGAGGTTCAGGAAGAGGAGGGTGGCCGTAGAAGACAGAGAACCCTTGGAAGTGACTCTAAAGCAAATGTGGCAGATGAGAAAGGGAGAAGGCCACTCTTTCTATAAGGAATATAGGAACCCTTCTGACTAGGTGTTTACCAAGAGGGAACCTGAAGCCTGCTGGGTAGGGAAGACCCAATCTCAGAACCCAAATTGGAGGTTTTCAGCATCCCTGAATACCAAGTTTTATTTTCAAATTTATTCTTTCCTTAGCTCCAGTTTTCATGCACTCACTCATTCATTCATTCATTCATTCATTATTTCTTTATTAATTAATTACTTCCTTCATTTGTGGATGCATGCAACAACCAGCTCAGGGTCCTTGGTGCCTTTGTGCCCAAATGTTGAGTCTCAGGTAGAGGTCCACCTGATATGTCTCCTTGGAGATTGGGGGTTCCCTCACCACATATAACATTCTTTCTCTCTCTCTCATTCTCTGTGAACATGCACAACACACACACACACACACACACACACACACACATTCACTGTTCACGATAGAGCCCTCACTGCAACATCTGATAAAGGGTGGGTCCTGTTGTCAGAGACCTCCTATCACTGGCTGGAGATGGAATGAGTATGAGCTCTTCAATTTTGTGGGGTAGGTGGCTGAACTCAAACTTCAAAACTATGTTTTGAAAGTGTTGACAAGTGTGAACTAAATGGAGTTAGATACCAAAGGCTAAACCTAAGAGCAGTGTCTGCAAGTCATTTCCTGCCCACTAGGGGGCGAGTGGGGCTTGCCTATTTCTATAGTTCAGGTCTAAGGGTGACTAGAAGAAATTTTTACAAAGAATGGCTCAGTGCAGTGAGCATTGCACTTCCATGAATTAATTTCATCCTCCTAACACCTCATAGGGCAAACTAATTCAAACACACACACACATGTACACACTCACTGTTCACTGTAGTTCTCACTGCAACATGTGGTGAAGGATGTGTCCTGCTGTCAGTCACCTCTAATTTTATGGTTGGGTCACAACACGAGGAACTGTATTTAAAGGGCCAGAAGGTTGAGAACCACTGGTCCAGAGCTAGGGAGGGAATCCAGGGCCTGGAACCAGGAGGCCTCGGTTTCTGTACACACACGCACACGCATACACACACACACACATTCACTGTTCACGATAGAGCCCTCACTGCAACATCTGATAAAGGGTGGGTCCTGTTGTCAGAGACCTCCTATCACTGGCTGGAGATGGAATGAGTATGAGCTCTTCAATTTTGTGGGGTAGGTGGCTGAACTCAAACTTCAAAACTATGTTTTGAAAGTGTTGACAAGTGTGAACTAAATGGAGTTAGATACCAAAGGCTAAACCTAAGAGCAGTGTCTGCAAGTCATTTCCTGCCCACTAGGGGGCGAGTGGGGCTTGCCTATTTCTATAGTTCAGGTCTAAGGGTGACTAGAAGAAATTTTTACAAAGAATGGCTCAGTGCAGTGAGCATTGCACTTCCATGAATTAATTTCATCCTCCTAACACCTCATAGGGCAAACTAATTCAAAGAACAGTTCAATACGTTGCTCGCTTTGCAATCTTATGGAGTCAGTGGCTGAACTCAAACTTCAAAATTATGTTTTGAAAGTGTTGACAGGTGTGAACTAAATGGAGTTAGTTTCCAAAGGCTAAACTCACAGCAGGGTCTGCATGTCATTCCCTGCCCAGTAGGGGGCGAGGGGGACTTGCCTATTTCTAAAGTTTAGGCCAAAGGGTGACTAGAAGAAACTTTTACAAAGAATGGCCCAGTGCAGTGAGCATTGCACTTCCATGAACTAATTTCATCCTCCTAACACCTCATAGTGTAAACTAATTCAATGAACAGTTCAATAAGTTGCTTGCACATCATCATCAACGAGCACATACTTGATTATTCCCGCCTTGGACTCTCTTCTCCCTGGATACTGTGTCACCATGGTCTTGGGGTCTCCTGTAATGGGACTGCTTTCCCTCTGCCTCCTTCCTTCATGGGCCCCTGGCCCTTGTCAACCACTTAGTAAACATGATTGTTAGGAATTTCAGAAATTTGAACATTTGTCTACGTGAAATGTGAAACCACCCAGGAGTAGGGCAGAAAAGGCCCACATGTGTAAGGAAGAGATGTGTCTGGCAGAGGAAGACAAAGGGTATGAAGAAGGTGATTTATTTCCATCGACAAGGCAGTTCTCCAATATGAGACTAGAGTGGGTAACCATCACCTAGGTGCCTATGGAAACTGCAGGTTCTAGCTTCCTTTTTAGAGATCCTTGTGCAGAAGGTATGGAGTGAGGTCAGGGATTCTAATGAGTTTCCACAAGTGTCCTAGGTGATACTGATGCAAGGGGTCCCCAGGATCCCTGAGCAAAGCTGGCACAGCTGGCCTGGAGGAGGAAGTGTGGGGGCTGCAGGTGTGGGGAGGTGTGAGGCTCCAGCAGGGATTCCCTTCTCTGCAGACCCGGCTTCTTCCTACCTAGGCATTCTTCACATCACAGGTGATGATGATGGTGATGATGATGATGATGATGATGAAGATGATAATACCTTTTCAGCAGGTGAGTTGGCCATAATGCTTAGACCTTGACATCTCTTTCCCTCTGCCTCCTTCCTTCATGGGCTCCTGTCCCTTGTCAAACACATCAATATGATTGTTAGGCAAGTTTCAGAACTATGAACATTTCTCTACGTGAAATGTGAAGCCACCAGAGGAGGGCAGGAAGGGAGTAGATGTGTGAGGGAGGAGAGTTGGGAGAGGAAGACAAAGGGGATGTGAGAGGCTCCAGCAGGGTTACCCTGCTTTGCTGACCTGTCTTCTTCCCATCCAGCTACGTCCAACAACGTGATGGAGCTTTATGGAAGATATCTAGCAAGTGAGTCGGTCAGATTCTCTTCTTGGACCTCAGGCCCCACTGAGCCCTTGACCCTCTTTGACCCATAAACATGCTGCTGGGGCTCAGCCCCGACAACCCCACAGGGATGCCCTGGTTTTATTTCCACACACATATGGAAAAACCTAAGCAGGGTTCTCAGTAGTATTAAGTTGGCACTGGTATATCATAAATCCAGTCAAACCTTGGGTGTCTAATTATGAACTAAGTCTGACAGCTTCTCCTCACTTGTGAAACAAGCATTTCAAGTTGGATGCTTTCTTGGGTCCCTCTTAGTTATAAATTATGTTGATTACACTTTTGTATTTATAAAGCACTTGCAAATGAAGGGAACATGCTTCAGTTTTTATGTTTTGGGCCATTTATTATCCTTTTCATAGAAGATTTCAGTGTGTTCCCCATCCAGGAAATGGTAATGGAAATTGCCTACTTCAACACGTAATCTATAAAATCTTGTTAAATCGTGTAATGAGAATTTGTCACTTTGTCACCTAGCTGACCTTTTACAACCCCCAGAGGCAAAGTGAAGTGACACCTTCCCCTGCTTGGCTTGGATAAGACACCCACATATTTTACTGTGTTCTCACCAAGAAAACCCTTTGGCCAAAATTTCAGCTAGTCCAAGTCAATTTTTAAGCAAAGTGCATAACCAGAAATTGGCACAAACATTTGCATATCACCCTTTCCATATTCAAAAGCTGTCTGAGACTCATTTGATTAAGCATAAAAATAGCCCTGCGAATGCCATTAGAACGGCTGATGAGCATCCCATGTCTGGGCCCTCAAATTTGTATTCTGGAGATGCCTTCCTCAGTCACCACTGAATAGCTTCTCTTGTAAGAACCTGATCATGCTCTCTAGAGTCTGAAGGGATTATTTTCATATTGAGTGTAGAAGGTTTAATTTCTCTATTTTCATTCAGCAGAAAGGAAC